TTGTTCCTGTTACTTTACTGCTCTGTCACAACAATGAGTTGCAGACATGCATGTACCTTTATGGGTAAGAACACTACATGTATTTGGAAGAATTAGCTATTGTCTCAATTCAGTGAAAGCAGAAGTATTTTTTATCAAAGGTTATAATTGTCATTTCTTGCACACCAGTTAACGTAATTGTATATTTAGTGTATTTTTTTTTACCTAGTATAATGAAAATTAGGGTGAATTTCTTGACTAAAATCTGAGATCGGATTAAAAATCCGGATCATCAGAATTTTTTGTTAAGAAAAGAAACAATGTATTCAAAAAAGGAATATTTTTCATTCATTTCCATAGAAACGACCCACAGTATTGACGGTATCGTTGAGAGAGAATTACACGGCTGTTGATGATGTTGCAAATTTGCTGATCTTTCATTTTAATCTGGACAGTTAGCTCAAGGACACTGCTTCAGAAGATGAGTCCTGAAATAAGATATTTACTGGAAAAGTAAACTGCTGCAAGACGCGATGGAGAAGTTGTGTAGTTTTGTCTCTCCAGATAAAACGGATAAAATTGATCACTTAATGCATGCCTCGAGTTCAGATTAGATTACAGTGTTGTCAAACAGCTGCTGTATGTATTAAAATTATTTCAAGTTATCGGTGGCTGTATTCACTCTTTTTGGATCCATAGTAAAGAAACCCTTCGGATCATATGTATCCAAAGTATCTGGTTTTAAATATCATCCAAAGAATCCACCTCCGTTGTGGATCATTTGGATCAGCAATGCATTTTTGGATTTTAGTAAAGGAACGAAATATAATTATCTGTTTTCGGATTACAAATCTGGATTTGGACATTAGTAAAGAAATGCACCCTTATTTCTTGCCCTGAAGAATTGCCCTGAAGGATGTACATGTACAAGAATTTATGTGTCTTATAGATCACCTAAAATGACCATAATGCAAGGACACAAATGCCTTCACACCTATAGTGTAGACAATCATAATTCCAAAAGGATGCTGTTTCCAAATAAATTCCCTAATTTTTCCAGTATGTTTCATGATCGAGAAGTATGACGCTTGTCAGATAAGCATCTGCTTGCAGCACTTACATGATTGTAATCTTCGATTAGGAAACAGTAGTACCCAGTCCGTAGTCAGTAATCCACAGGCCGCAGTACTAGTCCGAGTATTTTACTGGCCGATTAAAATTTACACCACCCGAATACGCATGTAAGACGACAATAAAGGTCGTTGACTTCGTTTATCTCTTGTCCAATCATTCACTGACTGTTTAATTAATAGAAGAACCTCTCTGTGTTTAAATAAAACGTACCTGGAGGCTGTACATGTAGCAGAATTACTTTCGTTGTGTATTGGGTCCTTTCCTTGCGGATGGATAAAGGCTATCGACGCTATCAGTATCGCCAAGACTGTGCAAACACATTCTTGCTACAGCAAAACGAAAATAAGAAGAAAAGTTCCTTAAGAAACTCCTCTACGAGAAACTCTTTTGAAGAAACTTCATGTTCCTCCGATATTTCGTGAAAGCTGGTACAAAATACAGAACAAAAATACAGCGTTGAAAGTGTCCCATGAATCTCTGGGGTCTTTGTTTTCTGTGTGGAGCCTGGACCCTGCGTAAATGCAAACACAATACAACGCAACAACGCAACTTACGCAACAGCCGTAACGCAACTCAACGCAACACGTGTGAATCAACCCCGTCCCCAGGGTCTTCTTAGGTCGCGTGTGAAATGGAAATAAAAAACCAAGCGGTCAACCAAGCGCCGACGCAAGAAATAGAAAAAATGTCATTTCCTTCTGCTTGCATTTACGCTTGTGTTTGCACTTCAATTGTGCGAAACGAGACAACGCAAACGCAAATGCAATGCCAAAGTTTGTCAAAATAATACCGTAAGTTAGTTCACTGTCATTCTCAAAGGAAATGGTCTTCAATTGTCGGGAAAACAAACCATCCGTGGACGGTCATAAATCGAGTAGTCTGAAATGTCATCCGTCTCTTCGCCTCACCCCGCAACCGGCAGAGACGTCGTCTCTTTTGCCGCCCCGTTGGGACGAATGACAGATGACATGCCAGACTAGAAATCGAATCAAAAACAGCCGATTTTTTCTGAGGGGAGGGGGGTGTCTGTGCACAGGCTAATGGAGAAGAGCAAGTGAGTTAGATCCCTAAGATATTCTTTCTATCAAAAGCGAAAGAAATTACGCACGGAAAATTCGAGTTACCAGCCTTTATTAGCATATTAAACGCTGAAGTGCAAACAAAGTAAAAGCAAGAAAATACACACATTCAGAGTCGGATACACCGGCTACAACTTCCCTAAGCCGGGTTTCTAAACTACTGACGAGAATTGTCATTGTCTTAAGAATATGTAAATGGAGGTTAAAGAACCAGTTAAATGTACGTTAACTCAAAGCGACAGTCTAAAAACAGTCTATGAGAACGTCAACCTAATTGTGAGAGGTTTTCCTTCTATCTATTTGAACGAAATTAGCAATGATTACATATACTTTCCACTAATCCATAGTTATACTTTTATGATCAGGAAGACAACAACAGTGGCTTTTGCTTGTCAGCTCTGCTTTCTTCCTCATGGCAGACCGGTAATCTTGGCACCTCATTCCTTCTAATTTCAACATAAGGTATAAAAAATGATATCAGGTACAAACAGTTGATGTTTAACTTCAAATCAATGTTTTATGGCATTATTTCTCCAAAGTTAAACTGCACGAAGTTAAAAAAAAAACAATAAAATTAATGTATCACAACAAATTGCGGTTGATAACGAGACTCTTCAAAAGAAGGTTGAGTTTGATCGTCCGGGTGAACGTAGTCCTGAATAGGACTGTTGTTGTTGACAGTGACTGACATTTCGACAACCTGTACCGTAGTCATCTTCATCTGCATTAACTGTCATCCTTCAAGGATTATGTTTTATTATAGAGTGGTGCAGATATCCATAATTAATGGCATGCTGACAGCTAAAGTGACTTGCATTGACCCTTATCATCACAGGGGAAGAAGAACAGACAGTAGGATCAAGTTTAATGGCCAAACACAACTTGAACCTTCCACAAGTTCAGTTTTCGTTGGAATCCAGCCATACACTTGAGCGCCCAGCCACTGTTAGGAATCCAATCTCATACAAGTAGTATCATTCACAAGTCTCCAGTCAGATATCTGGAATTTGTGGGGCGGGCATCAGGGATGCCATTAAGGATCAATGATCACGACAAGTGTAGCGGAACTGTCAGTATGACAACTGACTAATGAGAAGGCATGTTGGGTATCCTGGATTTCCGCGAGTTGGGTGGTGGGTTCCTCTAATTGCCAGGTTGACACCTTACCAAAAAAGGCAAGCATCAGGAGAGACGTCACGCTTTTGTAGTTGAACACTACGAATAGGGAAAATCAGTCAGTATGAGTTGCTGGTTTCCTTCCACACTTACTGCTTTATTGGTTGACCAGTTCTATGACATCTTATCTCTTGTGTTATGCAGATTAAGTGACACCTCTTTCTGCTGAAACAGTTCATCAGTCAAACAGCACTACACCTTCCACAAGTTCAGCTTTCACTGGAATCTGCAGGCCAGACACAAACACCCAGCTACTGTTAGAAATCCAATCTCACACAAGTAATATCTTCCACATGTTTCCAGTCAAATATCTGGAATGTGTGGGGCATGCATGGGGGATGCATTTGTAGATCGATGATCACAACAAGTGCAGAGGAACAGTCAGTAATGAGAACTGACTGAGTAGCCACATTGGGTATCCTTAATTTCAAAGATTTGGGTGGTAGGTTCCTTCAAGTGCTACATGTACATGTAGGTTGACACCGAAGCAAGAAGGGGAGGCATCAGGGATGCTTTTGTAGTTGAACATTACAAACAGGGAAGAACAGATCAGTATGAGTTTCTGGTTTCCATACTTACAGTACTGGCTTATTGGTTGACCGGTTCTATGATATCTGATCTCTTGTGTTATGCAGATTAAGTGACACTGGTTTCCGCAAAAACGGAAACTACACCTTCCACAAGTTCAGCTTTCATAATTATTTGGAATCTGGCCATACACAAGCACTCAGCCACTATAGATTAGGAATCCAGTCTCATACAAGTGATATCTTCCACAAGTTTCCAGTCAGTAATCTGGAATGTATAGGGCAGCATCAGGGATGCAGTTGTGGATCACAACAAAGTGTAGAGGAACAGTCAGTATAAGTACTTACCTTGAAGGCATGTTGGGTATCCTGAATTTTCTTGATTTGAGTGGGGGGTTGACCTTCAATGCCACTTGCCTGGTTGACAACACAGCAAAAGACAGGCATCAGGTTTGTGCTTGTAGTTGAACACAGTGAGTACAAATAGGGAAGAACAGTCCGTATGAGTTCCCGGTTCCATACATGTAATTGCTGGCTTATTGGTTGACCGTTTGTATGATTCTACAGGTAATCACTTGTCTTATGCAGATTAAGAGGTACATGTACCACTTTCCACCAGCACAGTTCATTGACTTAACGCCACTTGCACTAACTTCAGCGAGTTCCAGCCAGGCATCTGGAATTAGAAGGATGCACTTGTAGGGAAGAATAATTGTCAGTATGGGTACTGTCTGGGCATGCATGTTGGGTATCCTTGATTTCATAGTTTTAGCAGAGGTTGGTTTGTGAGTTGTAGTTGCCCATGCCAGTTGAAGGGGAACATTGAGATCGAGTTCTGATTTCCATAATATCTTGACGGAAGTTTTGTCTGACTTACTTTGGTTTGATCTCTTGCCAGCATGCAGTAGCAAGTTTTCTTTGTCAGCGGCACATAAAAAAGTGAAATTCCTGAGGTGTAGAGTCATGCAGGGTTGACATTAGGAATATTACTGGAAATCCACATGTACATTTTCATGTATTTTACTTCACGGCCTGTTCAATGGCAGTATTGTTGAGCTTTGTCACTGCATCTGTACACACATGTAGCTCATTCTTCAGAGGATCTTCAACTTGCTCGCCTGTCCCCTTCCACTAACAGAGCCTCTATAGTAGGTGCTTTTTCCTGTTTTCCCTAATGAGGTTTAACATGAGGTGTTTAACAAGACAGAGTTGTTAGCCCTGCACTAAACCCCCACCCTGAGGACAAGGATATGGTGCTGCTTAGTCTCAGGCCCTTATCCCTTAGACCAATCTGGCATACATGTAGTTGAACCCACCAGGAGCATAAGCTCCCACCATCAAAGCTCTGGACACAACATGGGCACCCAAGCCTCACTCCACATCAAGGCACAGCACCAGGGGAGGGAAGACCTGTTAAACATTCTTAAAATCAATGCTATACTATACATGTACTATCAAATCTTTGTAATAACATTATTGTAATATTACAAGGTGGCAAAATACATTGTAATAAGAATGAATAATCTCTCTCTTATGTTACATGCAAAATGTGCCATCCATTTAAAACCTTGATCACTCCAGTTATGGAAGCTTGATTTATTTTTAATTTGTTATCTCCAATTTAACTTTCGCTAAACTATACCAATCAAAGAGTTCTGTGAGCCAACTTATAGGTGAGAATATTATTGACAAAAACTTTTAAGAGCAGTTATAATTTGTACAATCAGTACGATTCGTGAATGAGTTGCTAATAAACTGAAACGCAACAACTCATACAAATTGGATAGTGTTAAAACAAGTGTGAAATTTGAAACCTAATTCTTTTAGAAGGTATTCGCATAAAAGAAAATTTGATTTTGCGGTGCCTCCAAAAACTAACCAGCTTCATAAATTCATAGGTTTCTTAAAACTGAGTGATAATAAATTATTTTCTGGTTGAATTTGACAAGACAACACTTCATCAAACAGAAATTGACAAGCCATGCACAAGCACTTTAGGATGTGTTGCGGATCATCTGTTAACTCTTTATGCCCCAAACATCCACCTACAAATTCTCCAAACTGGGCTCCATATTTCCTTAAAGAATTAGTTGAAAGAATTTGATAAAAGATCAAAACATTTTCCCTTTAAATTGGTTTCATTTTATTACTTGTCATAACCTTTTTTATGATCGATGTCAATATTGTTAAAAGAAAATTGATGTTAGTCACTCTTGGGACTTGAAGATCGGTTAAAATAATAACGAGATGTCTGCACCAACAACAAATTTCTCTATTTCACAAAACAAAATCATTGCCAGGCAACGTTTTGCACTTCATTTTGACCATACAGAAGGCTAGCAAAAACTTGCTATTATTTGACCCAAATATATAGGCTAATAAACCCTTTAGATAACAGATATTTCCACACTCTAGAACAAAACCTAAATAATTGTTCACAGCCCATCTCTCTTCTCTAAAACATCGCCAAACATAATTTCTATGTTCACATCATCTTTGTAAACAGATAGCAAAGATACTATATTTGACCAAAAATCATAGGGTTTCTGCCGTTGGGGAAATGGACATTTCCTCTGATTTGAAGGGGCAATGTTACAAGCTTATTAATGTCTGCTTTAGATCAATGCTGTGCTGAAGTCTTTGCTTACAAGTAGTTCCTCTACCCTTACATGAAATGCCACTGTAGGGTTAAGATGAAGATATCAAAGAAATTTTATCATGGAACACTAACCATGATCATTTTTTATTTTAGTGATTTCTGCAGGCCGGGCATAGCAATAAATCTTGTTAGGCAAACTTCTTTCAAGTTTCTTCAAATCCATGTCCATTATTGCCATCTGTTGCAACAGACGACAGGAAACAGTTTCAATGCCTATATATTATTATAAGTCATATACATGTAAATAACAAAACTATACGATTATTGTTGTACACATAAATCAATAAATTGATGCAAAAATGTTTTTAAAAATATGGCAAATAGCACAAAATACAAAGGATTTGAACATAAAGTTTTACTGAAAAACTTCTCATCACTTTCTACTATACCTTTGGATTTGTCGAGTATTGTTCCTGTTACTTTACTGCTCTGTCACAACAATGAGTTGCAGACATGCATGTACCTTTCTGGGTAAGAACACTACATGTATTTGGAAGAATTAGCTATTGCCTCAATTCAGTGAAAGCAGAAGTATTTTTTATCAAAGGTTATAATTGTCATTTCTTGCACACCAGTTAACGTAATTGTATATTTAGTGTATTTTTTTTTACCTAGTATAATGAAAATTAGGGTGCATTTCTTGACTAAAATCTGAGATCGGATTAAAAATCCGGATCATCAGAATTTTTTGTTAAGAAAAGAAACAATGTATTCGAAAAAGGAATATTTTTCATTCATTTCCATAGAAACGACCCACAGTATTGACGGTATCGTTGAGAGAGAATTACACGGCTGTTGATGATGTTGCAAATTTGCTGATCTTTCATTTTAATCTGGACAGTTAGCTCAAGGACACTGCTTGAAGATGAGTGCTGAAATAAGATATTTACTGGAAGAGTAAACTGCTGCAAGACGCGCTGGAGAAGTTGTGTAGTTTTGTCTCTCCGGATAAAACGGATAAAATTGATCACTTAATGCATGCCTCGAGTTCAGATTAGATTACAGTGTTGTCAACAGCTGCTGTATGTATTAAAATTATTTCAAGTTATCGGTGGCTGTATTCACTCTTTTTGGATCCATAGTAAAGAAACCCTTCGGATCATGTATCCAAAGTATCTGGTTTTAAATATAATCCAAAGAATCCACCTCCGTTGTGGATCATTTGGATCAACAATGCATTTTTGGATTTTAGTAAAGGAACGAAATATAATTATCTGTTTTCGGATTACAAATCTGGATTTGGACATTAGTAAAGAAATGCACCCTTATTTCTTGCCCTGAAGACTTGCCCTGAAGGATGTACATGTACAAGAATTTATGTGTCTTATAGATCACCTAAAATGACCATAATGCAAGGACACAAATTAATGCCTTCACACCTATAGTGTAGACAATCATAATTCCAAAAGGATGCTGTTTCCAAATAAATTCCCTAATTTTTCCAGTATGTTTCATGATCGAGAAGTATGACGCTTGTCAGATAAGCATCTGCTTGCAGCACTTACATGATTGTAACCTTCGTTTAGGAACCAGTGGAACCCAGTCCGGAGTCAGTAATCCACAGGCCGCAGTCCGAGTATTTTACTGGCCGATTAAAATTTACACCACCCGAATAGTCATGTAAGACGACAAAAAAGTTCGTTGACTTCGTTTATCTCGTGTCCAATCATTCACTGACTGTTTAATTAATCGAAGAACCTCTCTCTGTTTAAATAAAACGTACCTGGAGGCTGTACATGTAGCAGAATACTTTCGTTGTGTATTGGGTCCTTTCCTTGCGGATGGATAAAGGGTATCGCCAAGACTGTGCAAACACATTCGCGCTACGGCAAAACGAAAATAAGAAGAAAAGTTCCTTAAGAAACTCCTCTACGAGAAACTCTTTTTGAAGAAACTTTTTATTCCTCCGATATTTCGTGAAAGCTGCTACAAATTACAGAACAAAAATACCGCGTTGAAAGTGTCCCATGAATCTCTGGGGTCTTTGTTTTCTGTGTGGAGCCTGGACCCTGCGTAAATGCGAACACTATACAACGCAACAGCCGTAACGCAACTCAACGCAACACGTGTGAATCAACCCCGTCCCCAGGATCTTCTTAGGTTGCGTGTGAAATGGAAATAAAAAACCAAGCGGTCAACCAAGCGCCGAAGCAAGAAATACAAAAAAATGTCATTTCCTTCTGCTTGCATTCACGCTTGTGTTTGCACTTCAATTGTGTGAAACGAGGCAACGCAAACGCAAATGCAATGCCAAAGTTTGTCAAATAATACCGTAAGTTAGTTCACTGTCATTCTCAAACGAAATTCAATTGTCGGGAAAACAAACCATCCGTGGACGGTCATAAATCGAATAGTCTGAAATGTCATCCGTCTCTTCGCCTCACCCCGCAACCGGCAGAGACGTTGTCTCTTTCGCCGCCCCGTTAGGATGGATGACGGATGACATGTCAGTCTAGAAATCGAATCGAAAATAGCCGATTTTTTCTGAGGGGAGGGGGGCGTCTGTGCACAGGCTAATAGAGAAGAGCAAGTGAGTTAGATCCCTTAGATATTCTTTTTATCAAAAGCGAAAGAAATTACGCACGGAAAATTCGAGTTACCAGCCTTTATTAGCATATTAAACGCTGAAGTGCAAACAAAGTAAAAGCAAGAAAATACACACATTCAGAGTCGGATACACCGGCTACGACTTCCCTACGCCGGGGTTTTAAACTACTGACGAGAATTGTCATTGTTTTAAGAATATGTAAATGGAGGTTAAAGAACCAGTTAAATGTACGTTAACTCAAAGCGACAGTCTACAAACAGTCTATGAGAACGTCAACCTAATTGTGAGAGGTTTTCCTTCTATCTATTTGAACGAAATTGATGCTCGAAGCATGCCGCGACAGTCGCAGCGACGTAGCAAGCTTCAAGTTCGTTGAACTATTCCCTAGGTCCCAGGGCTTCAAGTTTATGAGAAAGAACGATTAATTAAAATATATGGGGCCTCAGGGCAACGCTAACTCTAGGCCGTCGCACAACAGATGTGCTCTTTGTCAATTGAACTGACTTTCTTTATCATAAACTACGTGTTCTTACGCGGAAACTACTCTACTTGCAAATTATGCGAACCTAAGCAGTTAAAAAAAATAGCTGTCACTCCTCCTCCCGTGAGATTTCCTGGCTGGTATCATCAGCATCATCTACCAGAGGGACTACCGGCTTTGATGAAGGCAAAACCGGCTTATAATCCTTCTTTCTTGCCTCATCGGGATTACCTTGATCGTCAACACCTCTAATAAAAAGAGAATAACTTCAATCCCAGGAATAAAGCTGGAAAACTTTACAGGACCTTTCCCCTATTCCCCTTAAAGTTGAAAAGGGTCGTTGTTGGACATTTGTCTTCGAAAGTCCTGGATTTTGGTTTGGACGGGGTACACTTGTGAAGGTAACCAGAGTCGCAACCTCGGACAAAATAAAGGGGACACTACGAAGGAAATCCTCCCCCACACACACCTCCCCTAGGCCGCAAAGTTTAAAGCGGTTTGTGTCTGGACATTTGGTTGCTGAACTCTCGGGACTATTCTATTCGGAAGGGGTGGGGTAAAGTAGGAGTTAAGGCCCAATCTCGGGGATCCATGGGACCGTAACTAAAAAAGTGCGGACTAAGAAAGTAACTTAAAGGAGACATGATTGATATTTAAGTCGAGTTAATCATCAACAGAAATTTAGCCTGGGACAAGGCTCTGCAGTAGTGGAAAAAGGCCCAAAAAAACGGGGAGAAACAGGAAAAATATGAATATTGGCGAGCGAAGTGAGCCGAGCGGTTGTCTGGGAAGGGGGAAAGGGCCACTCTTTTCCTCGCCATACTACCGGCCGGCTCGCTTCGCTCGCCGATGTTTTGCTTCTTTTTTTCTCCCATTGAGAAAGAATGAGAGAAATAATGTAAATCGTAGGTCGTATTTCCACCAAATAACGTACTCCAGCCATAGGCCACATACATTAGGGACTGTGCAATAATTACCTGGAGGGGGAGTTGGGAAATGGGTGAAATACGCCCCAAAACTAAGTCATACTCCCCTCGCATTAAGCAAAAATTAATTTCAACCCCCCCTCACATAATGATAATATTAAGGCTAACCCCCCGCTCCCCCCCCCCCCCCCCCCCCCCCCCCCCCCCCGCCGCCTTAAAAAAAGTTTCCTCCCATGTCTGGTAGAAACATCACTTCAAATAACTCTTCGACGTATGTCGAAGAGTCATTTGAAGAGTCATCAGAATCACTGGACTCTGAGCTTCTGTCGTCTTCGCATGAATTGGGAGATTCCTCATCTTCTACAGCACCTCTGGCACTAAGGTTCCCGCGAGTGTGGGTGACAGCTCAGGAATTCCTGTCTGATTGAGCTTTTTTTTTTGAAGCTCACTTAATCATACTGTGTTATATTTACCATACTTTAAATTTGTTTCGCTATTAAAATTTCAAAAGTTGGGTTTTTCATTCTGCTAAATTATGATGTCATGTGTGTTAACATTGGCATCTTTCTTTTTCATTGAATAACATTATAGTGCTACTTTTGCAACTTTTAATTAAAGTTTCCTGTTTTATTAAATTCAAGTGCAAATAAAGTAGCACTATTTTAACATATATAACAGAGGCATTCCTTTCCTACTGCATGACAGATAGGAAAACAACAGTTCATAGATCAGAACACCTTAGAGTTGCCAAATTTATCAGTTTTATTCCAATGTTAGTATTTATATTTGAACTCTAATAACTCTTCCACTACTTTTCCAGTTTGCAAAAACGAAAGAAAAAGTAATGCCTCCCCTGAATGTATTAAATTTTGCATCCAGCCCCCCTCTCTCTTGTTGTTATTTTCTCCTATGCCCCTCTTCTAATTTTCCAACCCACTCCCCCTCCAGGTAATTATTGCACAGTCCCTTAGTTGTAAGTGCGCTGAAACTATTTCCTCACCGTTTTTTCTTTGTGGCACGAAGTCTTCCCCTTTCCCTCCCATCTAAGTCATCTACCAGTGCTGGGTGCTCTTCACCATCGGAACTAGTGGCAGATGGGATGATGAAAGGCGCTTCGTACAAAGGGTTCACCAGGCCCTTCGGCATTTCTTTGAAGGTTGTAAAAGAAGTTTCCATCTCATCATCACTGCTCGCTGGCGTCGCTCCCGGTAAAACCGGGCCCAGCTGATACCGATCTCTTGATCGCATCCGCGACAGACCTGGCAGTATACCACACATTACTTAAAACAAATTGCTTTCACCGTGGCCCATTAAAGCGATTACATTGGTTAAAAATATATATAGTGCTGCCTTAAGGGGAAGTCGATTGCATGATTAATTTTTATGGAGCCGTGGTTTCCATTGATTCGATAACACACCGAGGCAATGAAGAAAAAAACCCAAACAAACAACAACAACAACAACAACAAGAAAAGCAAACAAAGGAGTGAAGTTTATACAGTTAAGCCTCATGCAGGCCTTATTTCATAGAGATTTGTAACGATGAGGGGAATCAAATACGCTGTGTCTAAGACTTTGAGTTTACTTCTAGCAACGGCGTTTACCAACCTGGTATCTTTCGCTTGGTACTCTTTTTTTTTGTTGGGACAGGTCGGTCCCCATTATCATTGCCTTCGCGTATTAATGTTTCATCACCACGCCCATGTTTATGAATATCAGGAGTAGAGTGGGAGGACATGGCCCTAAGTAACACCAAAAAAGAATTGAATGAATTTAAAAAATGCACCATACTTGCTATTGTTCTACAACACTCTTACTTTATGAAGTTATGCCAAACTTTAGCCTACGTGATAAAAGATTGATGACCTTCCGAGTAAATTTCCGAGCAAAAGTTGAATAGCTAAATCGTTGTTACCAATGTTAGGATTTTCGTTTAGTATATATCTTGTAATAATTGTCAGCAAATGTTATCTCCATTCAAGCTAGTGTAAGTAAGTTATTCACTATAGAGGGAATTTTCATTAAAATGTGCTGCGATATATGACCTATGTCAACCCAAGGATTCGGCGTATTGTTGCAAAAGCTCAACCGAATTAGAGAACAACGACAAAAAAGACAACAATAAAAAAGTCAGCTGTTTTTAAGGTCACTGGGCATGGAAATGAGACTGAATGGCGGTAGAAGCTCCTAACTGTTTGCAGTTCTTTTTTTTTGTTTTAAAAATCGCGTCCATCAAAAGAAAACTTCCCTTGCGCCTCTAAAGAGAAAGACGAGGTTCAACTGGGTATTAATTACTCACATTAGAGAATCCGCTGAACCCGAGTCTGCGCCCGGGTCGAGGTCTCTTGAGAGCGGCTGTACGGTCTCCCTTTTGGTGCTCATGGAATTGCAGTAAGGAAACTCGACCTCGGGAGTTCTTTCATCCACCCTGTGAAAGGTAGTAAATACGATCGCTGTTGTTAGAATTACCGGTGTAGCAGTCAACATAATACGAAATGTAGCCACAGAGATCCACTGCTGGATAGATAGTTATTTTCTCCTAATCGTCGGTACACCAAATGCAACTGGCAAGTGAAAAGTGAGGAAAAGCACTTCTTTAAAAAACTTTGCTTTTCATTTCGAATTGTTTCTTACTTTGACTGAACGCGTTGGAAAGGCTGTTTTCGAACCTAATGAACATCAATCAAACATTTATATTGCTGTACCTAAGTGTGCTGTGGTGTTTCCTCCACTTCCACCACGCGAACAAAATAATCAAAAGCAGCAGCAAGGCAGCACAAGAACTGCCAATGACAATCCACTTCCAGGTCCCACTCGGTTCTTTGTTCCCTTTGATCATAATCTTTGCCCTTGTTTGATCACGTGATGCTAACAAGGCTCCACCCGAGGTTTTATCAAGCTGGACCCACATAACACTCTCTGGTGCCTTTTTCTTGTCGTCGGCAACGTTGATAGTGAAAGATTCGTTCCATTTACCATCGTCCAGCGCTATCATCCCAGAAGTCGGCCAAACAAGCTCTCTATCAAGTGTTGAGTCATTCTGATATAACGACCACTGCACTGTTATATTGCCTTGTGATCCTTTTGCTCTGCGTATTGGAATTTCAAGTTTGGTCACTTGTTTAGCACGAGAAACTGCCACAACGCCCTCTTTGTTGTAAACTGAAAAACAAGTGAGTGAGGTTATGTTTGTTTGTTCGCTTCTCAGGGCGCAGCCATGAAAAAGTGGGCCACAACGTCTAAGAGAACGTTTAACGACTAAAATTAACATTTTTCACTTACTAAGGAGACAGCGTGGCCGAGTGGTCTCCGCATCGGACTCGTAATCCGGCGGACCCGGGTTCCAGGCCCGCTCTGGCCACTTGCTGGATTTGCCCTCGGTCGTCCCTCGTTCAGATCCTCGGCCACGCTTATAAATAGCCAACTGGCTGCCTCATACCATGCAGTTGGAGTTTTTAATCCTGTTACGTTCTATTTGAATCATTTGTTTCTGGAATTGTTTGAGTGCAGTGCCTGTAAACTAGCTGTATAAGCTATGTGCACTTTCCACTATAAACAAACCTTTAACCTTTAACGTTTTCAACTGCCAAGTGGATGAAAGGAATTATTGTTAATTAATTGTCCGTACACAGCACACATTGCAAAAGCGTTGCCTTTATACATTGATGCTGTTGGTTAGAAACAATTCAAAGTGAAGACCAGTGAACAGTTGTCGTGAATTGCGTGGTTGATTGTGCTATGCCAGCACAGAACGAAAATGCAGCTTTCAGTAGACCTGTATACTGGGTCATGCTACTAGACTGTGGAGTGGACAGGAAGCATCCTACTGACAGTCGATGACTGCAAGGAACTACAGCACTCTTGTCTAGTAACTACTTTTAGTCATGCCTTTATGGGTCAAACATACTGTACTTACTTGAGCTGTTCTTGTCAAACAGAACCATTCCATGCTGTGCCGTAAATGACCAGAAAAACGCGAACTGAGTTAAGTGACACACGTCTACTGTTAGTAACTTGATTGTCTTGTTCACGTGACTCCATGGCTTTGGACACGTGAGGGACGCGTCAAACCTGTTATGGACAAATATTTCTTATGGCGCAAACATTGGAGATTACAAGGATCTATGCACCTTAACAATCCGAACTCCATCTTTCACCTATTAAGCAACTTATCTATCTCTAGGTCTTCAGGGAACTCGTTTTTAGTGTGCCTGAAGGCGTATTCTCCAGGGACAAGCGCCCAGTCTTTTCTGTGCACATGTAGCTTCCTTCTCAATCCTTTTAAACCACAGGAAGTTTAGGGAGAATTTAAACTGCATTCAATCGTGCGGGTATTAGCCTTAAACTCATTTTAATTCCCTAAAGTGTCTGGAATTCAATATTAGAATGTTGATTACAATTTAATTAATGAATTAAAACACGAGCAAAGCGTTACACGCGAGCGTAACCAGGTCGAAAGCTTTGTGATCTTTTCTTCATCCAGCCTTTGGCAAAATGTGCGGATACGCTTGGATGATGTAATGAGTAGTACTTAAAACACCTAACAAGAGACGCCTAAAAACATGAAAACCTACCAGGTTTCGTTTCTTGAATCCCATAGATACAACACTGGGTCGACATCTTCCTCGGTGACTTCATTGTTAACGTGCTTTTTGTTGGCTTTGACCAGTTTATTGACGTCATAGAACATGGAAATTTTAATTGGCTTTACGAACTTATAGCCTTCTTGGACGGTGTTATTGATCGGGTCCAACGCTTTTATGACAAAACTGTAATTGCCAAGCATGAATTGCTGCCAAATGAAAAGACCAGAAAAAGGTTCTTTAGTTGTCAACCCCAGCGAGCCCCTTAAGAATTCCCACAACCAAAAGCTTGTGGTGCATCCTTTTAGGGTATTCTCATCCAGATAGGTCCGTAGGAAATGTGTTCGGTAGTGAAAGATTTTCTCCAGAATAGAGATTAAAAATTATAGGTATGTGCTGTGCTTTGGATATGATTACAACAGTACAGTTATAAATGCCACTTAAAAGCCTTAAGGTATTTATAGTCCGACACTAAAGCTACTGCCTAAAAATATTCATAATACTCAGGTACTTCATTATGTCCTAAAGAATGTAATCGGCGAATAAGCGGCTGATAATTTACTTGGGTAACTAAAATAACAAAAAGAATAGAATGCTCCTTAGATTGATTCGCCTGAGAAGGAGAGGATGGATGGAAAAGGAGAGAGAAATTTAAACACAATGCCCTGTCACCCAAAAGCTCTTAAGCAGGAAACTGGCCAACAGTTGGTCAGCTAGATCAACCTGAGGACCAAATTGTAAGACATTTAGTCAGTCAGTCAGTCGGGTTAGTAGCTAACGACTGATCAACTGGATCAAACGAACAAACGAACTGTAGGGCAGATATCTTGTCAGTCATGGGTAAAGACTATTACTCCTTATTTGCTAGTAAGTCAGCCAGTGTGGTCAGATAAGATCAGTATATAGTGGATCAGAGACTTGGGTATCTAATCAGTTGGACCATTAACAGTTAGGCAGATGGGGTGCCATAAACTGTAAGCATATCGAGATACATACCTTTGGCTTAGTGTCTTTAGGATTGCTAACAGGACCCTCCTCAGTCGTGTTCTTCTTAAGTTCTTCGTTATCCAGGCTGAAGGATCGCAGTTTTACTTCCCCTTGAACCGCTCCCTCGGGTACAGTCAATGTCCCATATGTCTGTCCCACTCCTCCATCTTCACGCGATCCGTTCACATTAACATTAACAGTGTCAAAGAAAAACGAAGCAGAAGACTTATTATCAAAGGTGTATTCTGATTTTCCGACCACAATTCCATTGGAGGAAAATTTGTCTGATAGCAATCCAGCTCCATTTGTAGCTCGTACTGTTGCAAAGTATTTCTTTCCTTTTTCAAGGGCGTCGTCTTTAAACTTAGCTAGCCATATTGTTGTATTGGTAACTTCTTCGAAATCTTTTATATCAGTCGAGCCAGCCGCCGTGCCCCAGGCAACTTCGTATGAGGTCACGCCACTCTCTGGATCAATGGCGGCGAAGTATGCAAAAATAACATCAACGAAGACCTGCAGAAGGAAAAACATTAGATTGTGTGAGCGGCACAGAAAACTATTTTTTTAGATCCTTCCGCTCTTCGTATCAACATTATTCTCTTAAAGTACCCTTCTCTTAGATTTCGGGAGTGATCAGTTGCAATATAGTAGTAGACGCCTGTTTCCTTTTCGCGCCCTTAATAGAGTTTCCTAAAAATGTTATTCAATGCATATTATTAACCACCTGACTCCTTTAACCTCTTAAGTTTCGAACATGATCGAGAATCTAAAACTTCAAAACTTAAACGCACAAAGAAACGTGTTAAAACTTTGTTGTTTTATAAGAAATAGAAAGATATGAAAAATATAACTTAACCTGAAAGTCCATATCCGGTCCCATTATTCCATCCCTGACGTATTTCATGACAGGCGGTGTTGTATCTATGGTAACGCCGTCACTGCAATTAGCTGAACATCTGCGGGCTCCGTTGCAGGCCACAACGGTAACGTAATAAGTGTCTCCATGCTGCATGTTTAGCTCGTAGTAACTTCCGTTTGGTCTCATTCCCGTACTTTCACAGACCTTGATGTCATCTTTCATTGGTTGAGATCCCACACACCAAAAATACTCTACAATGTCACTTTCACTGTCCATAAATTCAATCCATCTGGCGTGAATCTCTCTCGTGTTGTTTGTAAAGTCAATATCTGTATCTTCAAAACTTCTAGTAGAGCACTGACTGTCCTCACCAAAGGTTGAATTTTCGGAACAGTTCGTATTTGGATCACTGCCAATTCCATCGTAGACGACACCAGCTTCGGGAGCAGTAGGATCAATGATGAATGATTCCGAAAGAGAGCTTGTTGATTGGTCTGCTCGAGTTGTTTCAAGTAGTTGGATAGTATAAAGGTTTTCAGAGCCGGGTACAAAAAACGATCCATTTGCTAAGTGAATAGTGACTCCTTTTGTTTTGTTGTCAACGGTTAACGAAGACTGACAGGTAACCGAATCACAAACACTGGACGTGAAGCTAAACGGATCTTCGCCTGGTGTTTGTAAGCACGTCATCCTCTCGCATACTGAACACATTTCTGCGAAGCCACCGAACGACTTTTGCCCATTTTCACAAGGTGCACATCCCACCGATCCTAAGCCTTTGATATGAGAAACCCTGACGCGAACATAGTCAACAGGGCAATATGTAGTTGCATAGATTCGTCCAGTTCCGAAATCTTCCCCTTGCCCAGGCCAAGCTAGGACATTGGGAGTGCCAATCAAAACTATGTTCTCCATGAAGGACACAGACGCACGAGGAATTCCATCATCTTCTCTCAAGCCACTCTCCCGCGTGATGGCACTTCCCAGATTAATACATTTCCCATCTTTATACTTTGAGTACACTGCATGAAAACCAATAAGCCGTACACCATCGCGTCCTCCTAAAGTCAGCATACCCAAACCAACAATGTAACCTTTATTACGGGTGTTGACGTCCAGATAACCACTTAGGCTCTCATCCGGCGCTACACTAAAATGGCATACTTCTCTGTACGAATAGGTTGTGGTGTTGAGCTGAAACACTTGAGTGACCTTGGAGTCTTTAGATACCACGACGAGAGCGTTAGTTTCGGTGAGGCGTACCGACAGATGGCCAGTAAGGTTTTTATGATCCTTAGAGCAGATAGTCATTAGCAAGGCAGACGTGTCGACAGCGTAGACAGATATACAGGAATTCTTTTTGTTCCCTCTCGCTATTGCCAGAAGACGTCTATTTAAAGACAGGGAATGACCAAAATCAGGATCTCTCATCTCTTCTCCTAGAGTTCTTACAAACTTCCAACCACCTCCATTCTCTTGGAATACAGATACAACACTGGCGTTCGTAGAAGAATTTATTCCAGTCATGGCGATGTGGTTATCATTTATGGAAATTACCGGGCCGATGCTATCTGCCCAGTAGTCAGTGGGAGAACAAGCTGAAGGAGAAAGAACCTTGCAGTTTCCTAGAACAACAGTCTTGAATAACTGGAGATTTCCAAAATCATCGAGGCTGCTCCGGTAAACATGTACCTTACCGTCAGACAAGAATAATGAGCGATTTTTGTGGGACACTACCTTCACTGGGTTCGCAGTTGTACCAGTAATGTCTTCGGGAAGGGTCAGGTGGCTCGCTGATCTGTTTCTGAGGGGAAGAGCAAATGCTCTATCTCCCGATCCAACAGCAAAATAATCACCCTGTAAGCTCTGAATCCAGACATTGCGTTCATGGATCGTTGAAGGTAATAGTAAATTAAACCCGTCAGTTTCTATTATATTTTGTTTATCAGCATTTTTGGAAGTTGGTCAGGATTATTTATTTTTTCTCATTTTTATGTAAGGGCCCGACCATTTAACTCTTGAGGGAGGGAGGGAGGTGGGTGATTTTGAAAAAGATTTTTCCTGCAAGCGCTTGTCAGAAGAAAAAAATTGCATGCAGCACAAATGTAATAGAAAGCTTATGGGGAAAAAAGGGGAAAAATATCCTGCCCACCAGATTGCTTGAAAAAAATATTCTTGATGACCAGAAATCACCGCCCACTCCTCCCCCTCAAGAGTTAAATGGTCTGCCCCTAAGTGAAGAGCGTAAAATCGCACAGAAAGTTAAGTTCGCTCGTATTGCTCATGATTGACAGTTTAATAAACATGAAAGTCTCCGGATCTTTACAGTGGCTGGGGGTGTTGGAAAAACAAAGTTTGTGGTGTTTGTGGTGTAGAAACCTGAGGTAAAACAGACATGATTTTCCATCGATTCATCATCTACATCTACTTCTACCTATATTAAGTCCGTAAAAATCGCCAAGACATCGCATCAACCAATATGTGGTGCTCCAAAATTTGCCTTATTTCCCAGTCTCATCAAAGCACAACAACAAAACTAACAACATTTCGACATCAGCCAAGACTAAAACACTGATAGGATTTCGTCTTTGATGTTCTTTGATATGATTTCTTATTGCAAGCACTCTCTAGCAGAAGCAAGCCCTTCCAAGAACTAAAACATTTAAAAGTGCTTCTAATTTCGAATTAGCCCCGCCTCCCTTCCCCCTGATTCGACAATGTCGAAACTAAAGCGCCGATTGGTTGACCTGGTTTGTTCTATGCTTCAATTGCAGGACTCGAGGGGTGGGTCTAAAAAAAATGATGCTCTGTCGTATCGGATATTTTTGATTACAAGAGAATGCGTGACAAATACAATGATCCTAACAACTTCAATATCAAAATAGAATCTACAAACCACTGTTATTACTGTTATTTCTTTTCGGCAAATACCGGGTTATAGCATAGATTCGCGATTCGGAATTCGCGGTTGCGTTAATATAGAACAAAGAAAAATGCTTTTTAGTTTTTAGAGACATCGTGATTGCGGTGAAACTAAGTGAGAGTGAATCGTGAATAAAATTAGTTACATCCAACTACTGTACTTGTGACTTGTGGACAACACTGTTATTGGGAGGCAAAACATTCCCCATAATCGAAGCATTTTTTTTTTGGTTTTGAATTCCGGCCCCATTCAATCATCCCCGTAACTTGGAATCAATACAATATATATTCCCATACATCAAGTACCTACCGCAGCGTTGAAGGACACCGCTGACTAATTAACTGAGTAACGAAAACTCACCCTCCCTCTACGCCCGTGGAAAATTGTCACCCCCTTTCCTTGCGGATGGATAAAGGCTATCGACGCTATCAGTATCGCCAAGACTGTGCAAACACATTCTTGCTACAGCAAAACGAAAATAAGAAGAAAAGTTCCTTAAGAAACTCCTCTACGAGAAACTCTTTTGAAGAAACTTCATGTTCCTCCGATATTTCGTGAAAGCTGGTACAAAATACAGAACAAAAATACAGCGTTGAAAGTGTCCCATGAATCTCTGGGGTCTTTGTTTTCTGTGTGGAGCCTGGACCCTGCGTAAATGCAAACACAATACAACGCAACAACGCAACTTACGCAACAGCCGTAACGCAACTCAACGCAACACGTGTGAATCAACCCCGTCCCCAGGGTCTTCTTCGGTCGCGTGTGAAATGGAAATAAAAAACCAAGCGGTCAACCAAGCGCCGACGCAAGAAATAGAAAAAATGTCATTTCCTTCTGCTTGCATTTACGCTTGTGTTTGCACTTCAATTGTGCGAAACGAGACAACGCAAACGCAAATGCAATGCCAAAGTTTGTCAAAATAATACCGTAAGTTAGTTCACTGTCATTCTCAAAGGAAATGGTCTTCAATTGTCGGGAAAACAAACCATCCGTGGACGGTCATAAATCGAGTAGTCTGAAATGTCATCCGTCTCTTCGCCTCACCCCGCAACCGGCAGAGACGTCGTCTCTTTTGCCGCCCCGTTGGGACGAATGACAGATGACATGCCAGACTAGAAATCGAATCAAAAACAGCCGATTTTTTCTGAGGGGAGGGGGGTGTCTGTGCACAGGCTAATGGAGAAGAGCAAGTGAGTTAGATCCCTAAGATATTCTTTCTATCAAAAGCGAAAGAAATTACGCACGGAAAATTCGAGTTACCAGCCTTTATTAGCATATTAAACGCTGAAGTGCAAACAAAGTAAAAGCAAGAAAATACACACATTCAGAGTCGGATACACCGGCTACAACTTCCCTAAGCCGGGTTTCTAAACTACTGACGAGAATTGTCATTGTCTTAAGAATATGTAAATGGAGGTTAAAGAACCAGTTAAATGTACGTTAACTCAAAGCGACAGTCTAAAAACAGTCTATGAGAACGTCAACCTAATTGTGAGAGGTTTTCCTTCTATCTATTTGAACGAAATTGATGCTCGAAGCATGCCGCGACAGTCGTAGCGACGTTGCAAGCGTCAAGTTCGTTGAACTAGTCCCCAGGCCCCAGGGCTTCAAGTTTATGAGAAAGAACGATTAACTAAAATATCTGGGGCCTCAGGGCAACGCTAACTCTAGGCCGTCGCACAACACATGTGCTCTGTGTCAATTGAACTGACTTTCTTCATCATAAACTACGTGTTCTTACACGGAAACTAATCTACTTTCAAATTATGCGAACCTAAGCAGTTAAAAAAAAATAGCTGTCACTCCTCCTCCCGTGAGATTTCCTGACTGGTATCATCAGCATCATCTACCAGAGGGACTACCGGCTTTGATGAAGGCAACACCGGCTTGTAGGCCTCCTTTCTTGCCTCATCGGGATTACCTTGATCGTCAACACTTCTAATAAAAAGAGAATAACTTCAATCCCAGGAATAAAGCTGGAAAACTTTACAGGACCTTTCCCCTATTCCCCTTTAAGTTGAAAAAGGTTCGCTGTTGTACATTTGTCTTCGAAAGTCCGGGATTTTGGTTTGGACGGGGTACAATCTTGTGAAGGTAACCAGAGTCGCAACTTCGGACAAAATAAAGGGGACACTTCAAAGGAAATCCTCCCCCACACACACCTCCCTAGGCCGCAACGTTTAAAGCGGTTTGTGTCTGGACATCTGGTTGCTGAACTCTCGGGACTATTCCATTTGGAACGGGTGGGGTAAAGTAGGAGTTAAGGCCCAATCTCGGGGGATCCATGTAGTCTCCATGTAGTCCAGGATCCATGGGACCGTAACTAAAAAAAGTGCTGACTAAGAAAGTAACGTAAAAGAGACATGATTGATATTGACGAGTTAATCATCAAAAGAAATTGAGCCTGGGACAAGGCTCCGCAGTAGCGGAAAAAGGCAAAAAGAAGGGGTGAAATAGGAAAAATATCTAAGAGCGAAGTGAGCCGAGCTCTTGTCTGGGGAGGGGGAAAGGGCCACCCTCTTCCTCCCCAGACTACCGGTGGGCTCGCTTCGCTCGCCGATGTTTTGCTTCCCTTTTCCCCCAATGCGGAGCCTGGTCCAAGGCTAACAGAAATAATGTAAATCGTAAGTTGTATTTCCAACAAATAACGTGCTCCAGCCATTAGACTACACAGTTGTAAGTGCGCTTAAACTATTTCCTTACCGTTTTTTCTTCGAGCCGCGAAGTCCTCCCCTTTCCCTCCCATCTAAGTCATCTACCAGTGCTGGGTGCTCTTCACCATCGGAACTGGTGGCAGATGGGGTTATACAAGGCGGTTCGTACAAAGGGTTCACCAATCCCTTCGGCATTTCTTCGAAGGTTGTAAAAGAAGTTTCCATCTCATCATCACTGCTCGCTGGCGTCCCCCCCGGTAAAACAGGGCCCAGCTGATACCAATCTCTTAATCTCACCCTCGACAGACCTGGCAGTACACAACACATCTCATAAAACAAATTGCTTTCACTTCGGCCCATTAAAGCGATTGCATTGGTTAAAAATACATTTAGTGCTGCATTTAGGGGAGGTCGATTGTATGATTGATTTTTATGGAACCGTGGTTTCCATTGATTCGATCACACACCGACGCAATGAAGAAAAAAACGCCAAACAAACAACAACAACAATAAAAACAAAGAAAGGAGTAAAGTTTATACAGGTAAGCTTCATACAGGCCTTATTTCATAGAGATTTGTAACGATGAGGGGAATCAAATACGCTTTGCTTAAGACTTTGATTGTAATTCTAACAACCACATTTACCAACCTGATAGCTTTCGCTTGGCACTCTTTCTCTTTGTTGGGACAGGTCGGTCCCCGTTATCACTGCCTTCGTTTATTAATGTTTCGTCACCACGTCTATGATTATGAATATCAGGAGTAGAGTGGAAGGACATGACCCTAAGTAAAACCAAAAAAGGATTGAATGAATCAAAAAAATGCACCATACTTGCTACACTATTCTACAACGCTCTTGCATTATGAAATTATACCAAGCTTTGGTCAAAAAAGGTTGATGACCTTCCGAGTAAATTTGCGAGCAAAAGTTGAATAGCTAAATCGTTGTTAACAATCTCAGAATTTTCTTTTAGTATGTATCTTGTAATAATTGTCAGCAAATGTTATGTTTATTCAAGCTAATGTGAGTAAGTTATTCACGGCTCTGTAGAGGGCATTTGCATTAAAATGTACTGCCATGTTTGACCTACGTCAACCCAAGGATTTGTATTGTTTTAAAAGCTCAACCGAATTAGAGGACAACGACAGAAATGACAACAACAAAAAAGTCAGCTGTTTTTAAGGTCACTGGGTACGGACATGAGGGTGAATGGCTGAACAAGCTCTTAACTGTTTGTAGTTTTTTTTAATTATTTCTAAAAACGCGTCCATCAAAAGAAAAACTTCCCTTGCGCCTCTAAAGAGAAAGACGAGGCTCAACTCACATTAGAGAATCCGCTGAACGCGAGTCTGCGCCCGGGTCGAGGTCT